ATTTCATCATATTCTTGCTGAGTTAGTGTTCCACCTCGTTCAGCTCTACATGTTACATCCAAAAACTTTACATCATTGTCAATTGTGATATGATTATTAAATTCCATTTCTCGTGGCCCAGGGTTTTCTCGTAGCTCCCTTAAGTTGCTTAGTGCAGCTTGAAAACAAGTATCCACTGTTCCAACTGAACTGTCATTCTTTTGAAACATTAATGACAAACGTGATAATACAGTATATATGTCCATCATCACATAAAGAGATTTAATGAATCTGTAAGACTGTAATTTTCTGCAAAATCCCTTTACTTTATTTTTTGCATCACTTGACTGTCCTGTGATCGTAACCTGGTCAAGGTGAGTGAACATAGCTGAATAGTTCTTAGTAATATTTATAATTGCACGTTCATGGTGACCAATCCATCTTGTGCCCAGGACATTAGACGGTTTGTATACTTTCACATTAGTGGTTTCTACAGCTAACTGTAAATTTGACCAATTTAATGGTGAGTTCTTAAAAAACTTTAAAATATTTACGAGAAAATCCTCAATTTCTTTGAAATATTTACATTGTTTAAGTGCGTGTTTAATAGCCAGTTCCAATCTGTGGGCTACACAATGGACCGATACAAGATGAGGGATATCCGCACGTAATTTTGCACTAACACCCTGCCTCTGACCAAAATTGACGGCAGCCCCGTCTGCACCGAAGCCCACAAGTTTTTCTTTCCAAGTCTGTGCGTCTATTTGAAACTCTTTGTCAAAAGCCGCGTCAATTGCTGTTAAAATCCCTTTACTATCAGCATGCTCCAGTGCTTGCAAGGAGAAATATTTGGTTGTGGGTTTTCCATCGTCAAACACGCGTAGATACATTATTTCCTCATCAATAGTTGCCACATCTGTGGCAGAGTCAATTAAAATAGAAAATAACTTGTTATTAATCACACGTTTCAGTTCTTCTCTGTGGACTTCTGAAATATAGTGAATAAAAGTAGACGCCTGTTTGTCGTTTTTGTAGGCAACCCCAAGATCCACTCCATTTCATTCTTGTAATTCACAAAGTCCGGCAAAATCGGTAAAAGGTCATTTAGCAACTGCTAAATAATAAGAAATGCGGAATAGTTTTTCTAATTTAG